CCCTGTTCTCTGTGCATCTGCTGACTGTTCCTGCTGCCATCAATGAGCAGGCTATCTCCAGGGGTTATCCAGGGACAGCAAGCACTRCATAATAATCTTACCATTGGCTCTTGATATCTGAGCAGCTGYTAGTCTGGGGATACAACATTTTTGGTCTTCAGGACTGCCATATTGGAGCCTTTTTCAGAGCAGCGCAAGTTCAAAAAACTTGCACAAAAAATAAACTTTGTAAGTGCCTGGGACGCATAAGAGTCATTTTTTCCTGTGAAAGATTCAAAGTTCATTTATTGGCCATAAACGCTGGTRTTTCCCAGGACTGCCTGAAATAAAGGGTAAAACAGCACAGGTATGTGAGTGATCTATTGAGGTGTGACAGTGCTGTCTCTGGTGGGATGGGACAGTGTTTGGCTCCAGCCACCACAGCCACTTCCCTGCCCRCAGCAGGGTGACCCTCCCTCTGTCCCCTGTGCAGAACAGCAGTTCCCTTCCCCACAGAGGATCACAGCAGACTGCTGCCCTCCAGCTGAGGTGCTGCTGCTGCTGCAGGGCTCTTCCCTGGCAGACTGGAGTGAGTTTTTGACTGCATGTGGCAGAGGCAGAGCGTTGATGGACAGAGGGCGTAGGGAAGGACATTGTGTGACATCCCATTGCTGTGCTGTGGGAGATCCTCACTGACATCTGAGACCATCTCCCCTTTCCAGTCCACCCAGAGCTGGGCTCACCTGGAGCTCTCAGTGCTTTCTTATTTTAACATGAGTTGTGCCAGCTAGGGAAATTCCTGTATGTGCTCCCTTTACTTTTAAAGTTAATTCCTTTCACCACAGAATGGCTGGTGCTGGAAGGGACCTCTGTAAGTTGGCTAGTCCAACCCACTTTTAAAGCAGTTGCACAGGATCACATCCAGACTGTTCTTGAGTATCTCCAGTGAGGGAGACTCCACAACCTCTCTGGGCAGCCTGTTCCAGTGCTCAGTCACCTGCATGGGAAAGAAGTTCTTCCTCATATTCAGGTAGATCTTCCTGTGTTTTAGTTTGTGCCCATTGTCCCTTGTCCTGTCACTGAGCACCACTGAAAGAGCCTGGCACCCCTCTTGAACCCTGCTGAAGATATTTGTACTCACTGATGAGGTCCCTCTCCATTTTCTCCTCTCCAGGTGAAACAGGCCCAGCTCCCTCAGCTCCAAAGAGAGATGCTCCAGCCCTCTGCTGGACCCTCTTCAGCAATTCCTTGTCTTCCTTGAACTCAGCCCAGAACTGGACACAGCACCCCAGATGGGGCCCCACCAGGGCAGAGGGGTAGGGGAGGATTACCCATCATCTCCAAAATAGTCAGGGTCACTTCAGGGAACAACCTCAGCAGGACCTTGGCYATTCCTGAATTTCCATGGTCCAGCAGAGGTCACACTGCCAGCAGGAAGATTGCTCCAACCTTTGAGTGATYTCAACCTTGTCAGCTACACCAGGGCACTGAGTGCCATGTCCAGTCTGTCCTTAAACWCCTCCTGGGATGGTGACTCCATCACCTCCCTGGGCAGTCCAATCCAATGTTCAATCACCCTTTCTGTGAAGAAATTCTTCATAATGTCCAGCCTAAGCCTYTCCAGGCACAGCTTAAGACTGTATCCTTTCATCCTGTCCCTACCTGCTTGGGAGAAAAGGCCGACCCTCAGCTGGCCACAACCTCCTTTCTGGTAGTTGTAGAGCAGCTTCAAAGGCATGGAGATGTGAAGGCATGAAGGTGTCAAGATATGAAGGTGTCAAGACATGAAGGTGTCAAGGCATGAAGATGTCAAGGCATGAAGGTGTGAAGGACAGGGCTTGCTGCCCCCCATGTGACTGACAATTCTTTTGTTGGTCAGGGTCACTCCCTTACTGTAGCTGCTGGTGACTGTGCAGGAAAGGCATTAGAATTTCTTCTAATTAGAATTTCTCCTCATTGTGTGCAGGACCAGATATTGGGGTGACTGAAGCCTTTGAATGAGAATGGAATACAAAGAAGACCCTGTCTCAAAGAACTGCCAAACACTACCAAAGTATGGTAAGCAGTAGTGTCCTCTGTGCTGTGCACACTGGTGAGCTTTCATCCTAAGGACAGTCTCAAGTTGACAAAAATAGGAAGGGAGCTCCTATCAACAAAGTGAGGTCATTAGTAAGTCCTTGATGGTGTTCATAGGAAAGACTCATTTTTCCCACTGAGAAATTACGAAGAGACTCAATTTGCCAATATGGTGCTCATAACAGCTCATGCTTGGACAACAAGCAAGTGACACTTGTCGGAGCTGAACTTCTCCTGTCCCCTGCAAGGGAGAAGGATGGAAACATGGGGCACATGTGTCCAGAATATTGGCTTCTACTTTCACACTGTGCTGCATTTTGCTGTCTCATCCCACAGAGATCCAGCCATTAAGTGACTCATAACCTTATGACAGAATTATAGATTAGTTTGAGTTGGAAGAAACCTTTCCACTTCTCTGGGCAAGCTGTGCCAGTGTCTCACCATCCTCATCATAAAAAAAAAAATCTTTCTTATATCTAATCTAAATAGACCCTATTTTAGTTTAAAACCATTACCCCTTACCCTGTCACAACAAGCCCTGCTAAAAAATCTGTCCCCATCTTCAGCCACCCTGTTAGCCTGTGCAGTACAGTTAGGTAGCATGAGTCCTCACTGCAAACAAAGTGATTCAGAAGAAATGTTTAGATCTTGTGGATTTGGAGATTGTAACCAATTATATGAGTGTGTGGGCTTTACAGAATTGTAATGTGATACGAAAAAAATATATTAAAAGTGTTCTTATCAGTAATTTCCACAAAGCTGTGCAACAGAGCAAGTGGAGTTTGCACTAGAGCTTTGCCTTGGCTAACTTGCCTTTTTACCTCAAAGTTTTCTCTGCAGTCTTGTCCTGGATCTCAGGGTGCCTGATATTACTGCTTCTCCAAGTGGGGCCAAATGCACTGCCTCTACCAGCTGTGGCATGGGGGAAACACTGACAACAGCAGAAAGCTGTGTGCATCAGAAACAAAAGGAGAAACACTGATGGATAAATGGGAGTGTTGGCAAGACACCATTGATGCAGGCTGGGAGAAATGACTGATTGACTTAGCCCAGTAGAAAAACAAAATGCTTGACAGAAACAKGTATAGTTCCATTTTACAGGGTCACCTCATACTCATTACATTGGAATCAACTTGTGCTAATACAGCACTGGCAGAAATGGAAGAGTTCTCCATGACACAAGGCTACAGCAGCAGCAGCTTCAGTTCCTGCAATCTCTCCAACAAACAGAGGGAGCAGACCCAGCAAGGGCTGTATCCTCTTCCAAAACCACTGGCATTACAGATGCTACACAGTTGGTCTTAGAAATGTCTCAGGTGCAAGGTCATGTGGAGCAAGGGTTTTAGGAGTGTTGCTCAGACTGAATCAAAGTATTATAGGAGGCCCTGATTTAGGCATAAATTGATAAAAGGTATTTAAGTTATTATCCCCTTTTTATCTTCTGGGGCAAAAATCTGTGCCAGGACCCAAGGTCTGGCTCATGCTGCACAATGGGACTGGACTGCCCCAGCAGAGAGACACTCCATTAAAAACYAAGGTATTCCAAAACCAATGACAAATCATTCGTAATTCCTGTGTTTAGGAGTTTGTCTTGCTCATAGCTTGGAAGAGACGATCAAAATTACCACTCCTGCCAACTGCAAGTGAGCATGAGTGTGTTTGGTCACTTGTAAGAAATGGAGCAGGARCCAATTGACAAGAGTTTCAGCACTGAGAAGTTTTGGTTCATGTACCTCTCCAGACTGCAAACAAGGAGGCCATTTTTGTGCTGCTGCACTGCCCATYTGCAGGACTGACTAAAATGATCTTTCCAGGCAGATTTGTGTGCAAGAAGAGAGTAAACAGCAGTCTGCCTAAACACAGGCATAATTATTTCAGCCACTCCTCAAGGTTCATTTGAGTTTTCTTCTCCAGCAGTTATTTCTACCCACAGTCTCCACAACTGAAAGAAATCTGKTTGGTTTGCCCAGATTCATTTATAAAGTGAAAAAATACAGAAAAAGCCACATAAGCAACCCTGAAAAGCAGCAAAAGACATCTGAGCAAACTTCTGAAAGGTAACTCCGGAGTCAATKATGAAYTTGCATCTAAAATGGAYATTGAAAAATTCCTTCTACAAAGTACCTACAGAGACTTACAGTACACCTTCTGTCATAACTTAAAGAGCTCCACAGAAACAGCAATATAAAGTGATGTAAACAAAGTTAAGCATACTGGAGAAATCCCAAATCCTAACTACACAAATTCATGGTAATCATCAAACACTTGGTTTTGAAATGAAAAAACAGAAATACTTTGGTCATAAGTATTTCAGTTTATAAACTCTTCAGAAAACCCTTTATCAAAAAGATAATAAATTTTTGATACCATGTCAAGTACTAAGTGCCATTAGGAGAGCAGAATATGATTTATYGCTGGGAAATTGAAACAAAATGGAACATATGCAGGGATGCAAAGTGTTTTTCTGACAACTAAACAGAAAGTTAGTCTGTTTTGAAAYACCATAAGGAGGCCAAGAAAATTTTAAGGTTTCTCTCATATAGTAAGAAGTCATGGCTACATTTAAATTCTTTTCATTTTGCCTRGAAATTCAAGTTTGGATGTACATCTCCATTTGAGACATCCAAGAGGGAGAGAGAGAGAAAAAAATCACGTAGTAAACTTAAAACTAAGCCGAGCACCTAACCTCCCCTTTGTCCAGCGATCCAGAACTTCGGCTGCAAAACCTCTGCCTGCAAGGGCCACGCTCGCATTCGAACAGCAGCAGCCTTCGCCAAAGCGATTGCTGATTTAAAAGTCCCGTCGGCGCTTTTTAACCTCCGAAGTGCCTCCCGCAGAGCGAGTGGAGGCAAACATGGAGTAGCTGTCCTTTCACCCGGGAATGTCCCACATCCCCCCGCCCTGCCTTCACCCCGGCCCTTCCCGGGGGTGCTGGGCTCCCTTACCTGCTCCGCGCCGCTCCCTTCCCCTCCTTCCTTCCTTCTTTCCTCCCTCYCTTCCCCGCTGCTCGGGGGTCTCGCTGCCCGGGCAGTGCCGGGGTCCGGACGCTCCAGCTGCGGCCGCCGGGGATGCGCCGCTGCCGCTCCAGATGTTCCCCTGGCGCCGCTGCCGCTCCAGATGTTCCCCTGGCGGCGCGGCCGCTCCAGATGTTCCCCCGGCGGCCCCGCGGGGGGCGGGCGCTCTCGTCCCCGCCTGGCCGGGAAGGACCCGGGGCAGAGCCGAAGGAAAGGGGCTCGGGGAAAGCGAGGCTTCCGCGGGATCCGACGCTGCCCGCCCCCTCTCCTGCCCCGCTTTCCAGGAAAAGCGGCCGGGAGCGGGCAGGGCTGGCGGCCGGGACAGCCGCTCCCAGCAGCCCAGGCAGGCGAGGAAAAGTAGAAAAAGTAGAGAGACTTTCAGACATACAGACCTTCCTTTGATCGCTGCATGTAACAGAGGCCTTTTTTTTTTTTTATTTTACACGCGCACACACGCACAGGGACACCCGTGGTTTTCTTGAAAATGAGCGCCCGTGGCTGTCGTTCCTGTAATTTCGCAGGAATGTRTGGCACAGCCCTGACTCCAAAAGAGGAATGCCTAAAAATAAAATTTAAGGAACGAAGCCACGGTTTTATTTGCAGATGTCATCCTGTAGTAAACAGTGCCAGTGACATTACTGGAGCACTCCCAGGGTAACGAAGGGCATCTTAGGCTGCACCACCTCTGGAATGACAGCCAGCGGACAACACCAGTGAAAGCCTCAAATCTTTCACTGTGGAAAACTCATCCTTTGAGGTATTTGCCAGGAAGTTGTGATAATCAGGTTCTGAAGTACTGTTTAAATACACCAGAAGTCTCCCCTGACGCTTCCCACCCATCAGCATCCAGGTCTTGTGTTGCTGTTGGAATGGCCAAGTGGAGGTACAACYCTCCCACCAGCTAGTCACAACTCAGACTGAACTGTGAGCCACCCCCCACAAGTTCCCTAATTTAAGATTTCTGCTTTTCATGATACAGAAGCTTTTTTTTCCTTAGGAAATTTGTAGAAGAAATTAACTCCTTGTAAAGGTTAAAACTTTTTCACTCTCACTTATCTTCTCAGACAGCTCCATCCTTSCCTGCACTTTAGCACAGAGTGATACTTTCACCCTCAGAAAAACAGTCCTGCAGCAAATACCCCTCAGCATCTGGCAAGCAGATGCCTTTGCAGGTTGGATGATGTCATGATTACAGAGAAAAGGGCAATAATACTTTCCAGAAGGACCACCTCTCTGTAAACARTGCTTCAGAAATCCAGCCTCTATGAAAGCTGCTCCTCTTTCCTGGTCTGAGTGACTTCTTTTGCATTTTTTTCAGACAGCAGAGTGYATCTCACATCACAGCATTAATCCCTACCTAATGGATATCCTTCTTTTGCAGAAGAGTTTTCAGCTAGACTGAGCTAAATCAGTCAGTAATACTGATAATTGTAATTATCTTATGTATTAACCATTGATGTTTGTCTTGGCAGTGGAGCAACAATCACTTCCTGGGATTCCTCATTTCCATCCACTCTTAAAATGACTTAAAAGTCCTTCTAAGTGACAACCAACATTGCCAATGTAAAAAACTCCAGTTATCATTCCYGGAACCCTGCAGGGATTCTGCATTTCTGTGAGTCAGTGTGCATTAAACTAACCAYAGAGAAGTGCATGCATAGAACATTCTATAAAACTGTTAGAGACTATGAAAATARCAAAGCATCTTTTGCAATTTTTTACCTAAGGCCAACAAAAGCCCAACAGTTCTGCCACCTTCAGTTAAGTTCAGACTTCATTTTCATCTTACTCTTYTTGCCTTATTCCAAAGTTAGTTAGGAAATTAATTCATTGCTCCTCTTGCAAATTTAGAGTACATACTTGGCACACAGGCAGGCAATTGAGCTCTTCCCTTGCTGGAGGAATAGAGCATCCAAACAGAGCATTTRTTTGGTTTTTCACTGCTGATATTGAGCATTTCTCCTGAAACAAGTAATTAAATATTATTTCATGGCAAAGCTAAATGCTTCAAGACGAATTTGCAACCGGTGCTTGAACCACCTTCCACAAGAATTACCTTAATGAAACATCACATATCAAATATCTTTGGCTCCAAGACCCACAAGTCGATTACACTGCAYTTAATGTGGTGTCCAGTGCTTTTACCTCATCAGAGTTATCACATATACCAGGTACCGACATTGATCATGAAATCACACATCTGTGCCTCAATCTAAATAACTCACGAGCACATTACAGACAAATTAGAGCTCTAGATGTTCTAGGATTATTGTAATATCTGCATTTTGGCCTAGAAGGCAAGATAGCACCCGGGGGCAGGTGAACTACTTTCAGCCTAGGCACTTGGGGGAGCTGTGCTTTTCATATCCATGACTTGTTTTTGGGTGAAAACTGAAGTGAAATGTTGATCCACTCCCCTGGACACTCTGAGTCCAGGGTTTGTTATTTGTAGGTATCTTTGTAGCACCACATCTAGTTTATAACTGAGGGAGTGAAAACCCCCCCACTCTAAGTGAAGAACAAATTCAGGATTGTCTGATGAAGGTGAATGACCACGAATCTCTGGGACCTGAGGAGATGCACCCCAGCTCCCGAGGAGATTGGCTGATGTTGTTGCCAAGCCACTCTCCATCATATTTGAAAAGTCTTGGTGGTGGTCGAGCAAAGTCCCCAGTGGCTGAAAAAAGAAGGAAACACTGCTGCGACTTTTAAAAAGGGGAGAAAGGAAGATGTGAGGAATTTTTCACTCAGAATTTGTTATTTTAAGAGTGCTGAGGCACTGGCACAGGTTGCCCAGGGAGGCTGTGGATGCCCCCTGGGAGTGTTCAAAGCCAGGCTGGATGGGGCTATGAGCAATGTGGTCAAGCAAAAATTGTCCCTTACCATGGAACTAAATGATTTGTAGGGTTCCTTCCAACTGAAACCATTCTATGATTTTATGAAATSTATCACAGGAGTGTGGCTGACACTGATAAAATAAAAGCTCCCTGGATGGAGTGCCCAGAAAGTTAAACAAATAATTCTGACCTTGCAAAGATCATGAAACAATTGAATAAAGAACAAATACATGTATTGGCAATGACTTGAGGAAAAACAAACACTGACATTCTGGTTTTAATACAACTTGTAATACCAAAATAAATAAAAAGGGAATTTGAATACAAAGACCCACCTTATGAAAGTCCATTTTTTGGAGTATCTTTAGGGATATTTACTCTTCAATGGATTTTGAAGGTGCAGGTTTAAATCTGTAAAGTTTAAAAATGCTTCTAGGGCCTAATCCTGTCATGGGGGGAGGGGGGGAACTAGTCACATTATACATGAAATTTTAAAACTTTTTGACAATAGTTATTAATTGTGTTTATTTGTCTGCTTTTTAGTTTTTTTACCAGTATCCTGCAAAAAAATTGTAAAAAAAACTTCCAAAAGGAGTACTTTTCCATGTTTATATCCTGTCCAYACAATATGTCAAACTGATTTCTAGCACATAAAAATGTACCCTCCCTTATGAAAGGCTCATCTAGAAGAACATGCAAAATCACAACCATGGAGATAAAAAAAGTCAGCAGAGCTCAGTTTAACACTATCTGCATGAACAGAGGAACTGCAGTGACTGCAGGAGCATTTCCTGAARCAATCTATAATTCACAGGTAATTGGCTACTTTTCAAGCTGATCAGAGTCCTTTGAACTAGTCTAGCAATTTGGCACAGAGARTTTAGTGTAATAAAGCCAGGAAATGCCAGGAGTAGAAACAGTAACAAMTTTCTCCCCAGACTTTTCTATCCCTGTACTAGGATGAAGAACAGAGAAATCTGGGAAAAGCAGAAGCACCGGGAGAAAGCAATTTGCAGATCCCAAATGTTTTTCTTCTCAGTGTTTCAATACATGAAGTAAATCTGTTTTGGCACTGAGAGCTGTGCAGGTGAGGTCATCTGCAGYGCTGTGCTGCTTTTGTGCACACGTTAAACCATGACACAAATGCATTAAAAAAGATTGATCCCTCTTCCCACAGCACCAAGCAAGAATCTTTGCTTTTTCTTATCTCGTCATCTATCAGCTGAACGAGAGCAAAGATGGTTTTAAAGCTGCAAATATCAACTCAGAGATCTGAAATTTGTCTCTGAGAATGTGCAATGGCATTTCTTTTTACTATATTTCAGCTTGTGATACAAGTTTCATATTAGAAAGTGAAAGATCATTCACACTGAGGAAAACGACTTGCACTAACCTGGCATTTTTTGATGAAGTACAGTCAGCAATAGAATAATCAAACAAGTTTATAAGGTGTGACTTCTAAAGAGCATCAGGCAGTGGAGAGCTCATCTGGTGTGCTCTCTCAGGGTTAAATATCAAGCCAAGTCCTCATTTACCAGTTATTCCAGAAACTGGGACATGGAAACCTGATGCAGAGGAATGTGGCAAAAGAAGGAACAATCTGCTAGCACAGGGAACAAATGGCAGCTGAAAGAACTAGAAACKCTCCCTGCTTCTATCAAGTTCCTTAGTCACTTCTAGGTGACAAATCTGTACRTCTGGCTTATGGTCTTGTCTTTAGACACTGGTAGGATAAATTTAGGTTATAGGTTTATAGAAGCACCAAGCACCAGAACAGCAAATGAAGTCTGCTGGATCA